TATGGTTTTATTCTGCCCACCACCACCACCTTTTTTTCTCTTGTGGCACTAAAATCAGAAACTATGAATATACTAATGTGTTTGGGAAATAAGGACTATAAATCAGACCACTTATTAGACTGCAAAATTATTCCAATTGCACACATATTTATTGATTCCTCTGTCAGCCTTCTTATTCCCTTTTCTTACTTTAATCCTAAAATCAAGCCCTCTGATCTTTATTACCCTAAAATATTAAGATACTAGGGCAGAGCCTGAAGAGGGAAGGTTATCCTAAAGCAAGAGAGAGGGGAAACTTTGGCATAGCACGTGGGTAAGTCTAGAGCCTTTCTGCAGTGACCAACAGATGAAAACTGCTCTACATCACTTGCGCTCTGACTGGCAACCCTTGGCCTTGAGGTAATGCCTGCAGGCAAAATACTTAGTTTATCTAAAAGTACCTACTAAACACAGTCTAACAAAGGTGGCACAATAAATTAGATTGTGTTTACTTAAGTAAGTCACTGTGATCTTTCCTGTTAACATTCACTTCTGGATAGTGCCTAATGAATTAGTAATAACTTTTTAAAAATATATTTTTATTGATTTTGATTCAGGTTGTTTTCTTGAGCAGGATGCAAGGGTGATTTCTGTCCTGGGTTCTTGTCCAGATGGATTCGAAGAATGAAGCCACAGACAAAAGGTGGTAGATGAAAAGGGTGGAAATTTATTGGAAGCAAATACAAACTCTCACGTAGGGAGGGGGTTCCATGGGGGTGAGCCACAAGGCCCCCTTTTCTAGGGTTTATAAAGGCTGTAGTTCTTGGTTTCTTTATGCTCCCTTCTAATTAGACCCCTTCCCCACTTTATGATCCTATGCTCTTCTAACTGGTCACTCTTTCTGCAGAATATCAGCTTCAAAGCATAAACCCCACGTGGTGCCCCCTCCCTCGCTCCCCCTTATCTTGTAACATTTCTCTATCTCCTGTGAAAAAATCTGTTTTCCTCTTTCTGCCATTTGTCGGCATTTCTCTATCCTCTGTGAAAGTTTGTTTCCTTCTTCCCCATACTCTGTGGCTTTTCCTTACCTACTATGAATGGATGTCTTCCTCTCCCCTTATCCTGTGGCACCTTTTTTTAAAAAAAAAATACTTTTATTAATTTCAGAGAGGATGGGGAAAGGAAGAGAGGGAGAGAGAAACATCAGTGATGAAATAGAACTGTTGATTGGCTGCCTCCTGCATTCCCCCTTCAGGGGATTGAGGCCACAACTCAGGCATGTGCCCCTGATGGGAATTGAACCTGGGACTCTTCAGTCGGCAGGCCAATGCTCTATTCACTGAGCCAAACCAGCTGGGGCACCTGGTGTCTTTTTTTATTCTCTGTGAATGTATGCCTTCTGGTGGCTCCAAGCCCTCACCTATGCATTCCTCCCCCACGAACCCTCTTTATTCCTAAAACTCCATAAACCTGCCTATTTTATCCCTAAAACTCCTTTCAATTTCAGAGAGAAAAGGAGGAGAGAGAGAGAGATAGAAACATCAGTGATGAGAGAGAATCATTAATTGGCTGCCTCCTGCACGCCCTCCACTGGGGACTGAGCCTGCAAACCCAGAATCGAACCTTGACCTCCTGGTTCACAAGTTGATGCTCAACCAGTGAGCCACACAAGCTGGGCAGTAATATCTTTGGTTCCAAGTTTTGAGTTTTTCTATTACCCTCTGGGAAGTATAAATTAATTATTGTTTTGTGTTTGTTGTTTGTTTGAAACATCTCCATCAAGTGGCAGAGAAATTGTTATTTAAAAGTAATGGGGTGGGGCAAGGAGTAGAAGGAAGTTGGCCATGCATTGATAATTATTTTAATATATTTCTCTCTTCCCAGATCTAGGAATTCTCCATTTACATTAGTTGTCCATTTTTCTACTAGCCTTTTTGTTTTCATCTTTTAAATTTGAATTGCAAACATCCTGTGATTCTTCATGTCCATTGGGATCTTAGTCTTAGCTGGGACATGTCAGCATAGAGATATTCACAAACAAGGGTGTCTGCTCCTGAGATAGGTGTCATGGAAACAGCAGACAACACAAAATAAATTGTCTGGAAATGACAGGATTTTCCACAGATAGGGCCATTGTTTAATATAATTAATGATGATAAAAGTATGTTCTGGAATATTATGCAGCTATTGAAAAGAATGAGTTGCATGTACACATGTGACATTAAAATATTCCTGTTTTAAAAGTAAGCAAGATAGCTGCATATGCATCCACCGAGAGTGACATTCAAGAATGGAATTCCAGGGGCTGAGGGGCAAGCGTTCACTTTTATTCTGTTTACCACATACTGTGTGCCTGGTAACAATGATCTGATGTTCCTTTTATAATTACAGGAATTAACAAACTAAAGAAAACTTGTCTGGATGGAGAACAGCAAAAAAATGAAATAATTTTTAAAATAAAAAATACATTTCTCTCTATTCCTAATGTTTTAACTTTTTTTTTTATAAATAAAACATACAAGTGGAGAGACACACTTGCTACTTGAAACTAGAAATGAAAGTGGGTGAAGGCGCCAAGTTATAAGACCACAGTCTGCCTTCTGCTGTAGCGGTAGCACAAGCAATATTTGTGCTCTACAGGTTGAAATGGAAATATCACTCAGGCAGATTGGCTAGCCTAGCTCACCTTAATAAGAGAAATCATACATGAGTATTAATGTTAGGGCATCAGCAACAACTTTATTCTGTAGTTGGTTAAGTTAGGTACAATTTCTTCTATATCCCCAAAAGTATGCTGTTAACTTTAATAGACTAAGATTTATTAAAGATTTATTAAAAAATAGTTACACCAGAAACACCAGATTTTTCATATTTGTCTTCCTAAATAAACTACGACATTCAGCAATTTTACTCATATCCCTGTGAAAATCAAATTCTGCCATCTGTCCCAAATGCCCATTTTTATTTCCCTTTACATAAAACTAAAGGAATTGTCAAATGCCTTTCAGAAAAACAAAAATTTTAAAAATTGACATGGTATATATAACAGTCATGGGCCTGAGATTTTGTGCATACATTTATTTATCCAAGTCACTTCTTTATCTAAATATATCTTTTGTAACTTTCTGGTTTTCATTTTAAGTTATTCTTTCCCATTGTACAATCTTTTAGGCACTCACAATCCATTGGATTCATAACTTGCATGTTCCTCCTTAACACAGTAAACAGTTGACATAAGTGGAACCATTTAAAATAGAACTAGGGCAGCCATTCCAGAGAACTGCCTTGCACGTCTTTTCCTAAAACCTTTCAAATGTTTGAACTGGGCAAAAGAACTCTTGGACTGGGCACAATCTTTAGAATTAGCACCACCATGTATATGTAAAAATGAACTTAGCTCATTAGCACCAATAGAAATTCATTTTTTCTATTCAAGTAATTATTTCCCTTGCCTTTCTTATAAAAACCCCTTCACCCTATAATCATAACATTATTTGGGTTTCTGCCTGAATCATTGCTGCCATAATAGCTATACTTTGATCTCAAGCAAATGCTTGATGCCTGTTACTTTGCTTTTTATTTTTTAGGTTAATATCATCATATTTTCTTTATCCCTATTCTCATTTTCTCTCTTCCCTCAGCCAATTTACTAGTCCAGTTATGGCGAACCTATGACACGCATGTCAGAGGTGACACGCGAACTCATTTTTTTGGTTGATTTTTCTTTGTTAAATGGCATTTAAATATATAAAATAAATATCAAAAATATAATTCTTTGTTTTACTATGGTTGCAAATATCAAAAAATTTCTATATGTGACACGGCACCAGAGTTAAGTTAGGGTTTTTCAAAATGCTGCCACGCTGAGCTCAAAAGGTTCGCCATCACTGGACTAGTCCAAGTATGGACACATGTTCAAGGAGTGTCTGGATCTCCAAAGTTATAAACTACAGATGGTATAAGTTATTTGAATTCAAATAACTTTGGCAAACTCTACCCTTAACTGCACCCACCTAAATGAAACAAAAAAAGAAGAAAAATTATTCCTTTATTAAGCCTCTAAAAACTTTTTTTTATAAAAAGTAGTTAGAAATATTCTGCCACCTCTTTTTAATTGTGTGGCCTTTTCAACATCTCAACTCTTTGTGTCTCATCACCTTTATCTGTTTTTTATTTGTTGTTGCGTTTAAAAATGATTTGCTGTAGGTAAATCTCTTTCTCGCCTGATGTATGATGCACAGGAGAACAGAGTGTGCCTAAATGGACAGATACTAAAACAAAGTCTTTTGAAATCAATGTAAATTTTGTATCTCAAATGCAATTCTGAAAGTAGTAGTAACAAAAATAAATTGTAAATCTCCTAAGTATTAACAGATAGCTTATTGTAAGATTTCCTTGGGGCAATAATAAAGATGGGAATCTCAAGAAAACCCTAAAACTGGCTTTAAGAAATGGAAATAGAGGATTGGCAAAATCCAATCCAATCCAACAGAGGGGGAAGGGAAAAGGCCCAGAAAAAGATGGGCCACATTAGTGGCAGAACAGTAAAAAACAGCTCTGCTTCGAGTCTTCCAACCGCGTTCCAGAATCTCCCGGGCAGAGCTTTTTGGCAGTGCCCCAGGCACTTCCTCGGAACCTCGACTGTTCTATCTGCCCCAACATCACTCCCACCTGACCAATAGGGCGAATTCCCAAACTCTTTCAAGTCTTTGCTCTAAGTCACCTTCCCGTGTGGCCTATTTAAAAGATGACACCCTCCCGGGTCCTTTCCCCACTTCTGGTTACCCTCTGTGAATTTTTTATGTTAGCCTCTCCATATGCTCAATTTGTATTCCTTCGGACACCCCGCCTGTCGCTTCTCCTTTAAGTTTTGCAAGAGAGGGGCGGAGCCAGTGTCGGGCTCACCGAAAGGAGGGGCACAGCCGTAGGCTCCGCCCACTTACGTAGCAGGCGGTGGCCAAACCACGCAAGAGACGTTCTACTCCGCACCGGAAGCGCGAGTGCGGACGGAGTGATCACGTGATCGTGACGTCAGTGCCCCCGCGCCGGCCAGCCAGACGCCTTCAGCTGTCCCGGGTTAGGTGCTTCCCACCGGCTCGCGTGGCTTTTGGGGTCCTTTCCTCCAGACTTCCTGGGCCTGGAAAAGTGAAGTTATTTTCCTGCCCTGACAGCTGAGAATGTACCACAACAGTAGCCAGAAGCGGCACTGGACTTTCGCCAGCGAGGAGCAGCTGGCGGGACTGCGGGCCGACGCCAACCGCAAGTTCAAATGCAAGGCGGTGGCGAACGGGAAGGTGAGGACTCGGACGGCCGCCGGCTGCTCTCCTGGCCTCTAAACTCCTGAACAGCCGCGGGGCCCCCGCCTCTCCTCCCCGGGGGCTCGCTGCACACCTCCCCTCTCCTGACTGCGCGGCGCGCGGTTATCTATTGAGTAAGCAGGCGAGCACCTTGGCAGGTGCTGTAGGTCCAGCGACGGACAGCGCCGTTCCCGTGGGGGAGCGGCAGACGAGTAACCGGTAGCATGGCGAAGAGGAGACTGTGCGGGACTAGGGCCGTTCCCTGGCCACGCCGGGGTGCCGAGGAAGGCTTTCCCCGGTAACGGATGCAGGGAGACGGGGCCAGGCCATCCCAGGCGGCCAGAGCCCCAGGTGAAAAGTGGGAAGCCGGGAGCTGCCGGGCGGGCGGGCGGGCTCCTGAAACGCTCCAGGAAGGTCGCGGCGGAAGCTAAGCGTTTGTGCAGGAAAGGCTGGGGACGGTGGGCGATTCGTAAGCGGAAATAAGGAGTTTGAACCTGACGATGAAGGGATTGAGAACTTGTGAAAGGTTTTCAATGGCAAATTAACTTGATCAAGTTCTGTATTAGAATAAGCCCTCTAGCGTCCCGGTGGTGAATGGATTGGCTGGGGCAGGTTGGAGGCCGGGAGACAGGAGGCCGGGAGCACAAACCGACTGATGGAGGATGGTGGCCTGCCAGCCAACTCCTTCCTGTGATTAGCTCGCCGTCACTCTAATGTGTCATCTTCCCTCGCAAGCACAAAGCCTCCCTCCAGCAAGTATCCGACGTCTCAGGCCTGGAACTGAGATACTGTACTTTTTTTTACCTCGGTCACGTATTTCTTACCGCTTTAAGTTTGTGCTGCTCAAAGCCGTCCTTAGTATGCACCATGCTGTTTGCTAGGCGCTGTTCTAAGCATTTGGCAAGTATGAGCTCTTTCAGTCCCCTGAGGTGGGTGCTGTTATTTTCCTGCCCTTACAGCTGAGGAAACTCGGGGACAGGGAGGTTGAATAGCTTCTCTAGGCTATGTTGCGAGTAAGTGGCAGAGCCAGGGTTGGAACCCAAAGGATTTAGTCCCAACATTCCTGCCCTAAACCACAATTACATGCTGTCTATAAAATTAGGGCCTGTGTTAGTTTCCTAGGGCTGCCATTAAAGAATTTTTTTTTTTTTAACCACAAACCGGGTGCCTTAAAACAAGAGAAATGTATTGTTTCACAGTCTGGAGGCTAGAAGTCTGAGATCAAGGGGTTGGTCCATCGGTGTTCTCTGCAGCTTCTAGGAGAAGATTCTTTTCCTCTCCCAGCTTCTGGTAACCTCAGGTCCTTTTGCTTGTGGAAGCATAACACCAACCTCCACCTTCATCTTGGCATAGTGTTCTCTCTGTGCCTGTGTCCGCACATGTTAAGGGTAACAGTCATATTGAATTAGGAGCCATCCTACTCCAGTATGATCTTCACTTAACTAATTACACCTGAAGAGACTATCCTATATAATAAAAGGGTAATGTGCAAATTGACCCTAACAGCAGAATGACCGCTCCACCAGTCACTATGAGGCACACTGACCACCTCTTGGTCTCTTTCCCAGCTGGCAGGCTCCGATCACCTGATAGCCATCCCCTGCTGGGCCAGGGCCGGCGAGCGGGCAGGAACAGCCGACCTCTCGGTCCCTTCCCCTGGCCATCAGGCACCGATCACCCGATGGCGAACGGGGAACCAGGGGTGGGTGGTGGCAGGGGTCGGGCCGGCTGCGGGGAAGATGGCCCTGATCGCAGGCCAAGCCTAGGGACCCGTTCCCACGCACGGTGCGCCGGGCCTCTAGTTTCTAAATAAGGTCACATTCCGAGGTACAGGCATACCTCAGTTTATTGAGTGTCACTTATTGTGCTTCACAGATGTTTTGTTTTTTTACAAACTGAAGGCAAGACCCTCCACCTGTAAAAAGGTTACTATTTGCTTTATTGCGGTGGTCTGGAACGGAACCCGCAATATCTCCGAGGTATGCCTGTACTGGGAAGTTAGGACTTCAATATATCTTTTATTTTGGTAGTTGTAATTAAACCAGTAACAGCAACTAATGGATATTTGTTGTAAAGTTGTATTTGCTAACCATCAAGTGTATCCTGTAGAGAGTTTACAAAGATGGATGAGAGGTAATGTTTTCAGAGTCAGAATTATCCTTGAGATACTTGTTGATTTTTATCTCAACCTGTGTGACTGAGAAAGGGGTCTTGAAAACTTTCCAGCTATTAACAGTGTATATCTTCTTTTTTTATATATATTTTTTATTGATTTTTTACAGAGAGGAAGGGGGAGAGAGAGAGAGAGAGAAACATCGATGAGAGAGAAACATTGATCAGCTGCCTTCTGCACACCTCCTACTGGGTATGTGCCCACAACCAAGGTACATGCCCTTGACCAGAATCGAACCTGGGACCTTTCAGTCCGCAGGCCAATGCTCTATCCACTGAGCCAAACCGGTTATGGCTATATCTTCTTTTTTATTTCACTTACCTGTGAGCATATGCACACACACCATCAGGATTGCTTATACCTTAATGAAGCAATGTCCAGCTGACACTCTGAGAAATGGTGAAATGATGGTATAGTTTTAGTTAATTAAATATTTTCCTAACGCTATTTTATGTAATATTTAACAATTCTATAAAGAGAAAATGAGATGTAGTGTATTTCCCTTTGGCTGGAGATATAAACTAATCTGGACAGGGAAAAATATTTTAAGATCATTTAATTTACTGAACTTTTGTTGTAACTTTTGATCTAAAGGTTCTTCCCAATGATCCAGTCTTTCTTGAGCCTCATGAAGAAATGACACTCTGCAAATACTATGAGAAAAGATTATTGGAATTTTGTTCAGTGTTTAAGCCAGCAATGCCGAGGTCTGCGGTGGTAAGTTATGTTAGCGATGAAGTATGTCCTTTGGCTGACTTCTGAAATATGAACTCTTCTAAATTTATAGCTCAATCCTGTATCCACTTCATTCAGGAATGCAGCTTAGTTATATAAATATATAATTTATGTATTTAAGTTTTTGTCACATTATATATTTTTAATAACTGCCTTAAATTATGAATTCCTATATTATATCTTATGTTTCAAGTCTAATTTCATAGAAGAATTCTGAGGTCTTCTAGATGTATGATAAGCTATGACATCCTCACTTTATAAAGAAAGAAAAAATTAAATTATTTTCCCTCCAGGTCCTTAATAGAACTAGGACCAGAACATAGATTAGTGCTTCTTCATCTGTATCACACACAGAAATATGTTTGAAATAATGCAGTTATTCATATTTTTAATCAAAAGATCCCTAGCTGAAGCTCATGCCATAAGGAATGTTTAAACCTGATTTATAGAAGCTGGAGATTTTCTTTGGGTGAAAAATTGTCTTATGATGTTTCAGATATATGATTCTGAGGACCCCATTTGTGTGTAGGTGTGTGCTTACTGTGATGGGGCAGTGGTGAGGAGAAACAGGTAGTTAGAATTTTTTGGCTATATGGATTAAATACACTGTCCCTGTAATTGTTCCTATTTTGTGTATTATTTTTTTATAGAAGATAAGCTGAGATGAAAAAGCTGAAAGATACAGAAAAAAGAGGGAGGAGTATAAAATATTTTTTCCATATTTCACAGATTTGTCATGAAAATCAAATATGAAAGTCTCTTAATTATAAGTCTTAAGTTTTGAAATCATACAAGTGAATATCTTAGGACACAGTATGGAATAACCCCCTAGGAAATAATCTCCATTTTTATAGTTGAAAAAATTGAACTTTATTGAACATACTAAGTCTAAAAGTATTCGTAGTGTCTTCTTAGTTTACTAGACCTTCACCGGAAAGATCAAAGATTCAGGAAGAATTTTAGATATACTTGATTAGCTTCTATCTCTAGATTTAGTTCTTTTCTGATAAGAGAATTATAGCATGAAGTAGTAGGTTTAAGTGATCTTTTCAGCTGAAGAAACTGAGTCCTTGAATGAACAATTTTGTGGAACTTGTCTTTATACAACACTAGAAGCCTGGTGCACAAATTCGTGCATGGGTGGGGTCCGGCTGGCCCGCCCCGATGAGGGCTGGTTGGGGACAGGGCCGGTCGTGGGCAGTTGGCCAGCTGGCCCCGCCCCTGATCTGGCCTAGCCGGGAGGAGGGGCCGCCCCCAATCGGGCTTGTTGGCCAGCTGCAGTGCATGTCATAGTGACCCGTCTGATGGTCGCTTGGCTTTTATATATATAGATGCTTATTTATAATTGACTAAGAATTTTGTTTTTTGTTTCACATCTACACTAATAAAAGAGAAACATGGTAATTGGCGTATGACCGCTACCCTTTTCATTGGCTAATCAGTGAGTATATGCAAATTAACTGTCAGCCAAGATGGCGGCCGGCAGCCAG